ACTGCAGCCCACTGTGCATGAACCACCCACATCTGCCATTGTCTTTGATGATGGGTTCGAGAAGGAATGCGAAACGTCAGGCGAATAAAGTTCTTGTCCCGACGATCGTGTCTCCTTGACATTCAGAACTATTGTGAGGCATAGCTTGGCAGATGGTCCGCTTCGTGACGGACGACGTGACGAAAGCCACAGGGCTGGGGCTGAAAGACCGCGACAAATGGAGCAGATTGGGAGTGTGTGTGCAACATCATGGAGAAGCGGGACTGGTGAACAGCTCCTCGGCCCTCGCAAAATTTTGTGTTAGGTTGTCGCGTAGAATGGCGAAGGACGCGTCTTGGAGTGAACATGCCTTGGATTATTAGGACAGGAAAGATCGAAGAACATTATGAAATTGGAGGTAAAACGCAAGCATTTATAAATTTTCAGAGTAAAGGCGGATATGTGTGGTAGGAGCGTAGGCGCTGATTGTGTTCATTTACGAATAGTATTCAGACGAGATTGGGAGTCAGATAGCCCGATGAAACACAGGATGTTAAGGGATTCGGAATTGGGGCCAATTGCAGTTGAAAGACACTGAACTAATTCCTCGGTAGTGAGTAGGGGACCGCTCTAGGGGAACCGATTTGACGAATGATCTAAGCCGCAAGAAAATGAAAAGTCTCATGACCGGGTGACCATCAGCCATATCGCCAGCCTACGTAGCACACAAGTGATCGCCAAGCCACCTCATCATTGACGCTAACGGAAAATAAGTGAGGCGATGGTATGGAACCCTAGGAATCCTAGAGTTACTGCGAAGGAGAATATGAAATAGTACTAAGAAAGACAAGGGAAACTGGGATGGCCATTTCTGGCTTATTAGCCGTCATCGGACAATCATACCCAACCCCAAGTGTAGATCACTTGAGATTCGAACCCAGGATCTTTTGTCATGGTTGTGTCGAACTCCATGACCAAAGACCCCTCGGTTCGAATCCCAAGTGATTCGCACTTGGGGTTGGGGCTGACTGGCTGATGACGACTAGAGAGCCAAAAATGGCGACTCCGGTCTACCTTGTCTTTGTCGCTATCGTCTTATCTACTTCTACCAGCAGTCGCTGTACGGATTCCATGCGAGAGTTCTAGTATGAGCCCCAAGGTACAACGGAACGAGCGTGTTCCATAACCTGAGCGGTGAGCGCTAATCTGCCATGAAGGAGAATATGTTCCATTTGTCAGACTGGACGAATTAGGTACGGAAAGCAAAATAACCTGTAAGCCATTTGGCAACCCTGCCCAGATAACCGTCTTCAGGGGGATTTCTTCAAGGGGAGGTGACTTGGGAAGACATGAAGACAGAGGTATGTGCCTGCATACGCACCTCATCACTTGTCTGGGCCTATCAAAGCCGGGCGGACCACAAGAGCTCGAGTTGCCTCGCCATGCGTTATGCTCAAGTCTTGCGTGGTATGAGAAGATGGATGAGAACTGTGTGACAGTGCGTTCCTCTGGTCGCCACCGCTCGGCCACGCAGTCCTTCCACCTGCCTCACGCTCCCTGTCGATTCGCTGCTAGGCATGACGCTGACCTCGCGAGAGCTCAAGGCCAATCAAAGTTGCTCCTTCGCTGTCTCTCTGCAGGCGGACAGAGCAGAAGCGCACACACGCGGTGGAGGCCGAGAACCTCAATGATGGACATGGGCGTCCACAACAGGCCGAAAGAAAGCTTGCGGCAGCTGCTTGCTGAGCCTCCTATACGCTCTTTCACATCAGTAAACCTCTCCAAATCAACCCTGCCTTCCTGCACTTGAGATTTGGGCATCTCCGTGTCGTCGATCATTGGGAATTCTCTCGTCAACTTCCATCTTAGACAGTGCTCACGGTTAGCCGTTCAAGAGGGCTTCAGACGTGTGGGTGAAGAGACGACTGGGTGGAGGGATGTGGGACTCGGTGCGCTAGGTGTCTTGGGATCTGGCCAACGCTTGGACCGTCGCGAGCTACGACGACGTCAACCGCGCGTCCCACGGAATGGGCGCAGCACCAGTGATTTGTTTGTGAATTTCTTTATAACGGACAGACTTTCGCAGCGTCTACCACACTCTTCCCTCTGCCTCACCCACTTTGCTCCGATAGCAAGACAATATCAAAGCGACCACAGGTGGCTCTGGCGCAATGACTGGCATAGACAGACAGCTCACAGTTACGCTCCGAATGATCAGTAATTTAACAGCACTGGCTATAGGGTGACTAAGGGGATCCTGAAGAAAACCGAAACGGTCGTTGTCACAGTCATGGTCTTTACTGGCGTCAAATAGGGCAGTGCATACAAAAATCTTTTTTTAGAGGAGAACTGGAACTCACGTTCTCGAAAAGAGGCCAAACGTGTTTTTTCAGTCTGGTGGGAAAATAAGACGTCTCAAAAGAACTTCTGAGCGTTGTAATCACAATTGACGGTGAAAATTTTACTCGCTAACTATGACAAACAAATTAGCATGGCGTGCTTCCCGATGTAATGGTCTCAAAAAGATCACAAATCGCCCCTAGTGTTCATAATGTTTGCTTGTACCCAGTCTAGTGTGCTGTTACTATGTCGCACCCTTCGAGTGCATCCACGTTCTTATTCAGGCGACATGTGACCTTAGCGGGAATACACAGAAGAAGAAGATGATGATGATGAGATGGAAAGAAGGGGAAGAAGAACAATAAAAGGTAAGATGTGGCTATGAAGCCCTACCTGAGGTACTCAATACTGTTGGGGTTAGGGTTAGGGTTTGGGGTCAGGGCAACAATTTCTCAACCAATCAAAGTACAACCGCGCATTCCCAATCGCTTTTCTTTTGCATACAACTAATTGACCTCGTCGCCTTGCGTTCCACGACCCCACCTGTAAAAACCCGTCATACCAGCGGTCCCGTATTACAGGTGGCTGGTATTTGTTTATTTCAGGTAGGTCTACATAACCACATCTGACCAACACTGAACGCTCCGGGCTGCAATAAAGGCGACAAGAACCTCACAACAAGTCACCTCATAACACCAAACATTTAATACTTACAAACTATTACATACGAAAATAGGCTAGGCTGAAATAAACACTTTTGGGCTTTTGAGGCTGTCTATTCCTTGGCCTGCACATCCAGAAACGAGGTGCCGGATCCAGTTGCGGTCATTCAGCGTATTGTTCTTCCACCTGGGTGAACGACCCAAAGTGCACCCGTTTTTTAATATTCATAGTAAGAGTGTAATTCCGACATACCTATCTAGATGGCGGAGGGGGAGCAAATTCTGACGGAGGGAGAATATATTGACGACACATTTTGCGACGGCATTTCAGTTTCGTTTTTTCATTATATAGTCTGATTCGCTGCCTTTAAGTAGCGCTGTTCGTGTGCGACTGAGGACTGAGAAGGCCGGCGGCGACGAACTATCTACCGTCTAATGAGAATTTAGTGTTTCAGGCCAAAAGGATTGCTCTAAAATTATTCATTTAAGGATCGGCTTCCTCGACAATTTCCTCCAAACTACTGAAGAAAACTATGAGGGAACACTTCACAGAGCAATAACTTCCAAGTCGACCGTTATAATGTCACTGGGTTTATTGTTTAATTGGAAAAACCTGCTGACCCAAAACGTCGTATGATATCAAAAAGTGGTAGTTGTGCTGGGTCCAGATGAAGAAGTGAGCTGGATTTGTCGGGGAAGAGTGTCAAAATTGGGTACGGAGTGAAAGGATGGCTGTCTGCCGCTGAAGAGATTTTAAACCCTGTGATTTCAAGTTTGTGGACGGAGACACAAGAGAAGGTGAGGGGGTAAAAACTGCGGCAAGAGAGGACTTGGCGAAACCGCGCATCTCCATCACTCATTCGATCATGCGAAAAAGAGAAAGTAAGTCGAAAGCGGGAGGCTGAACTTCCAGTGGAGAGCCTTCCATTTTTAAGGCCTGACTATAACGGAGGCTGAGAACGAAGAAGACCAGCGTTCGGAAGGGCGTCGCCGGGGTGAGATGCCCGGCAACTCGAAGATTCCCAAATCCCAAGTGGGGGTGGGGGGCAGAATTATCGGACGAACGTTACTGCGGCAAGAGAACATACGCACAGCTCAGCAGACAGAGGCAGCAAATGCCGCCTTTAGGCGAGTGGTTGTCATTGAGGTTGCAGCTTTGATCGCAGGCGCGTGAATGCACCTGGGCTTTGTCAGCGAAGGATGCAGCGTCGACTGGCCGCCAGCTTTTGTTACATCGACATCAAGTCTCGCGCGGCCCCAGCCACCGACTGACAGGGGGGGGGGCGTGAGTGGCTAACTGCGCTGGCGACCACGGGGGTTGACTGCCACATCCATGTGCCGTCAGAGCCGAACACCGGTTGCGGATTGCAAATGTTTTTTTTCTCTGCCCTTGGCTATATTCTTCTGCAGCGTTTGCCGCTTGCTCCCTGGCTAAGTCACATCTGACTGATTGTGCCTTCACCTTCGGCTACTATGAGCATTCAGGGGAAGGCTTAAGACCACGAGGTCGTCTGACAATGTCCGAAGTACGCGAACGACGTTTTGCTCCCTCTCTCCACAGCCAGACTATACACTGACCGCGGACTTTGACCTAACACTCAACGACCAATAACCCGAGTCCGATTTCGGGGTCCTCCCTGTCAGTGATTGGGGGTTAGTTGGCTAACAACCGAGACGACTGCAAATGCGCTGGAGCGGTCACATCGTGCGGATTGACGACGAGCGGATACCCAAAGGGCTCTTCTATGGAGACGTCTTCACGGGTTCCCGCCGCCAAGGAGGCCAAACCCGTCGTTACAAAGACACTCTGAAGACCTCGGTGAAGCGTCTGCAGGTCAATCCGGCCAACTGGGAAGACCTCGCCCGAGACCCACCGACATGGAGGAGGACAGTGAAGACAGGCGCTGTGATCTATGAAGCCAACCGCATCGCAGCCGCCAAAGTGAAACGCAAAGCACGCAAGTCACAGCTGCGCCTATTTCGCAACGCAGACGGACAACCGTTTTCAACGTGTCCACGATGTCGGCGGACCGTCTGGCGCCAATTGGACTTGTTGGACACCTACGGACCGTCTGCACCATCGTTGCTGCGCCAGCGGTCTTCTCTCCGTCCGCCTCTCCCCCGCCTCCCATGTTGTCATCAAACATCGACCGCTTTGCCGAACCACCACTACCACCCTCCTCCTCTTCCTCCTCCATCGCCGTAACGTCTGCTGCTGTGGAGTCTGCCATGCCCACCAATACTACACAAAATCCTGACGCACCAACAAACACCAACACCGTCACCGTCAACACCAGTGACGAGGACCGGGTTTACACCTGTCCACATTGCGATCGCACCTTCACCTCACACATCGGCCTGATCGGTCACTTGCGATTCCATCGCACAGAGAGTGACAAACCAGTGCCTGCAACACCAATCTGCACTCGCCGATTTGGCCCCCGCTGTCTACATTTCACTCGCACATTCATTCACCGCATGGGTCTCTTCGGCTACACGTGCGTCCACGAAAACCTGCGGTAGCCAATCGCCGGCTGAACCACACCATCACACCCTCCCTCAGCAGCATCCTACCGCAAATCAACATCACTCGCCGCAGGCACCCAACTGCCACCTCCCACGCAAGTGGGAAGTGTGCGTCTCAGCCACTTCATCACGCGGCCACCTTTCTGCATATGTGATCGGAATCTGAGACGAGGACGGTGAGTTGAGCGCTATTTCTCAGAAGGCAGTCGACTGACGCCCCAACTCAGTCCATGCAGTCTGTCCAGTTGTGTATGTGAGATTGTGTGGAGTGGCGGACTGGTGGGCTGAGAGCCAGGTTGTCACGGTTCCTTCACGTGTACGTGGGGAGTGTGTGTGCTTTATGGGTAGTACCTCTCAGTCGACGACTGTTTGACTACACAACTTCGAAGAATGACGGCCCAGGCTAGATGCAGGGCCACGTGTCGCCCCAATAGGTCAAAGGTCTGACAGCGTGTGCTATGCCATTATCAGCAAACAGTGGCCTTAGCAGCATGGTGTGCGCTGGCAGTTCCCTGACACCTGGTTCCCTGCCGATAGATGCGCATGCACTCCCGCTGGGTATACGGGTGGTGGACATGGCTGCCCAGTCATTTTCGTCCTGCTGACCCTTGTTGGGATATTGTTGTTCCTGCTGTTGTTGGTTAAAAACCTGGCCTTTTCTGTGTGGACCAGGGGTGTGGTGTGGAACGCCAAGGTGCGGGCTCGGCCGGGCCTTCCACTTGCGTTTTCCCCCGCCTCCGGCCTCCTTGACTCTGTCTTAACACGGGAACCAGGTAGAAAGTGGGTAAAAGAGAGTGTGGTAGATGCTGTGCTAGTCTACTCTTACTATAAACTAATTCACGTGCAAGTCTCCGTGCCTGCTGAAGCCTGCTGTGCAGCACACGGTGGACATCGTCGGAAACGACGGTCGAACTGTCAGTTGGCTGCTAACAACAAATGCCTCGTAAATTGATTTTTGATTTCTTGTTTTCGGAAGCTTTTTCCTTTACTGATCGTCGTTTGCCATGCAGGCACCTTTGTGTGCCCCAATCTCCCACCTCCAAGCTCAAACGACTTAGCCCACAGTCCCTTTTGCAACCATTTTAGATTGGCGCACGCTTACTTGACGAACGTATGTATGCTTTAACAGACAGCGTTGAGTAGGCGAGCTCGCAAAACAGGCCTATAGCGCCAACGGGTGTGGAAAACCTGCGAACTAGCCTGCTGTCTGATAAAACCAATGAGGCAAACATTCCGGCTTGTATCAGAAATCTTTTTGAATCAATACAGTAGTCTAGCCGTACACACTGTTGCACCGGTAAGTATATTATCCGTTTCAACTGCGCAAGTTGCCGTGTATTTCCTCCTTGGCAGCTAACCAAAAGCATAGCGAATTACTGGTGAGTGCTGTGAAGAATTTACAGGCAACGGTCACTGGTGCCATTAAACACGGAGAAATCATTTTCTTGCTTGCAGGCGAGAAGATTTGTCCATTCACGGGCCATCTAAGAAAAGAGCAGTTGAACCCTGCGGCACCTACGCTGCACGAACTGTGCCCCAATTTCAGGACAGACGAATTCTTTCGCCAATTTAGTCGCTCCATTAAAACTACTTTCGTCGAAACGATGAGGAATTAGACCAAATTCCTTCAAGACGCCCTAATGGGCGAGGGGAGTCTCCAGAAAATCATTAGAAAAGCAGCTACATTAATAAAACGAAGAAGACAGATTTGTCAGGCCTGGAAAAACCCGCGGTCAAAATCGTCTGTTCAATGCTGGTGAAGTTCTCAACGCAATAAATTCAGGGCTCCGAAATGTGATTTAATAGCTTACAGCACCGCCACTTCTAGACTCATAAACTCCACTAGGACAATTTATCCAGAACATAAACACAAAGTTCCTTTTTTTATGCACGTTTCATAAATGGATTTACGAGTTTGCGTGCGGTAGCTGATGCCTACCAACTAGGCGCGTAGTTATTTGGCAAACGGGATGGCTGAGCCAAGTAGTGCATTACTGTGCTCAATATTGCCCTTTTAACAGTCGTGTTATCGTGTCATAGTCACAGTATTCCAGAATATATTCCCTTTAGGAGTCAGAAGAGTGACATCACGACGGCTCTTGGCCCACGCTACCTCTCCACTGTTTACTATTCCCGATGATTTCTAAAAGTCGGGCCAGTAAACCGGTAATGGGGGTAATATGAACCCCTATTCCCCCAACAGGTTGTCTTTCAAACGCGTCCGGGTAAACACAGCCGTCCTAAACAAAGAGGTCCACCAACGCACCGGAGCCAGCGAAATGGTGACTTGCGCAGTATCTGGTTTATAATGAGGCAGACCCTTGGCTCCTCTACTCTATCAGCGTCCACCAAGTTCCAATGGTAAAATCGAGTGAAGACACGTCTGCGCGTGCAACGCACGTGCTGACCCACAAGTGTCTAGGGTGAGTCTTCAAGAAGGACGTCACGGATCCCGCAGTAGTGAGTACTACAAAGGTCACATCAAGACATGTCCCCGCAGGTTTGTCCTCAGTCATTAGTGGGACAGGGTTAATTGGTTGACTGGCAACCTTCCAAGCTATAACAGGCTATGGCAGCGAGGGAACTAAATGCTAGACCGGAGATGTGGCGACTCTACTGTCTCTTGTTGTGCATTGATAGCAGCATCTGCGAGTGCCACAAACGTGCTGACCCACAAGTGTCTAGGGTGAGCCTTCAAGAAGGGCGTCACCGATCCCGCGCAAGTGAGTACTACAAAGGTCACATCAAGACACGTCCCCGCAGGTTTGCCCTCAGTCTTCAATGGGACTGAGTTTATTGGTTAACTGGCAACCTTCCAAACCATAACCGGTTATGGCAGCTTAAAAAGGCAGCTGGGCGTTTATAGCGAGGGAACTAAATGCTAGACCTGAGACGTGGCGACTCTACTATCTTTTGTTATGCAATGATAGCAACAAACCTTGGCTGACTAGAGGAGAGATTGGACGCCATGGATGACGCAAACATACAATTGGTCGCGCGTCCTTTCCGCAGTTGGCTACCTACATCGTATGGAATTTGGGAAAGCGGTGCGTGATGCTCTAGCAATGATTTTTATGACATGCACATGAGAGAATTAGCCCACGCAATGTCAAACTACGTGGCTACAAGGTTGGCAAATAAGGCGGAGCTTCTGACAATGACACGTCAGTCGTGCTGGAACCGATTCGCGGATGTCTGACAGAGCGCATACGCGACAGGAATGCGGTCATAGGGAGAGAGTTGGCACTAGCGTCAAATGATTTCAATGGCGCCCCGAGGAAGCACCCAGAAACTGGACGTAGGAAACCCCTCTGTGTGGGCGATTACAATGGTCGTGCTGTTGGTCGGTGACATCCGTAGACACCAAAAACCGCCGCTTGGGGGGGTGGCGTCGTCAACAGCACTCAAAAACCAGTCTGACCGTCACTGAAGAGCCATTCCGACACTAGTTGCCGCACCTGCTGTCGCATGGTCGCCGGTGGTCTTTCGACGTCGCCAGTGGTGAGTCACCTCACGAGCGAGGGACTACAGACACAACAACAAGATTTCTTCAATTCTCGTAAGACCATCTGGGCGCGTTTACCATAGTGTCATTTAAAGGGGTCACAAAAGTGGCGCACCCATCACAGGCACAACTACTTGGAGGGCAAAAGCAAGTGTCCCTGAAACATACTGCGGTAGTCACTGCGAAGTATGGCAATCGCTGTCCCGGAGAGCCCAAGAGTAACCTACGCATAAACTGTCAGGCATAAAGGGTCCTTGGCAGGTCTACAATGCGTGACTAATCTCATAAAATGTTGACCGAAATTCGGGAATGCGTATTCGACAAGGGAGGATTAATAAGGTGACGTTGTAATATCAACCATAATGTAGCATAATCCTATAGTACTGCAGACTCGCCCGGATGTCAGCTTTTGAATGCACTTCTTTCTGACCTCCCACAGAAACTGTACTCGGTAAAAATGACTTCTTAAGTAGCACGCATTTTTCACACAGATTTTCGATGGTTTTATAAATATAAATATATTTTAAAGATAACTTGAGCAGAAATATGCTTTCCTTTATTTGTTTGGTAGAAAATCACATTGTCTTCATATTTTATACCCGAAAAAGTGTATACTTAGGTTTGGAAAAAGTTGCCCAATTCCCGAGTAATTTTGAGCCTGATCAGTCTTTGGATTACCGTTTAGCGATTTCAGTCTACAAGCTGCATGCGTTCCGCGTAGGGAAAATTATACACTCCTCTATGCCTTTACGAAGATACTGTATAGAAATCGTAAGATTTTGCAATGGATGCAGGCTGTGTTGTACACTTCACGAGGAACAATGGTAAATGGACACGCGTGACGCTGCATATATGGAAACAAACACGATCTTGAAAACCTCATAATTAGAAGCTTTTTTAAAACCGAATGATAACCTTCCTCAGAGCATAAAAATAAAGAAAATGTGGTTTTCGACCAAACAAGTAAGAGAAAGCACGGCTACTGCGGGAGGTCGGAAAGGAGTGCATTCAAAAGCCGACATCCTGGCGAGTCCGAAATACTATAGGATTATGCTATATGCTGATTAATATTACAGCGCCACCTTTTTAATCCTTCCTTGTCAAAAATGCATTTCAGAATTTTGGCCAACATTTCATGAGATCGGTCACCCACTGTATGACATAGTTACGACAGATACAACTGTAAACAGTGTCTTACCATAGTGTACGATGCCAGTCCGATACTTAATACGCCTATTACGATTATTCAAAAAGACAAGGGCGCCGAAAAATTCCATCCAGGTGAAAATCGGACAGCAGGACCCGCGGTCCTTTCCGACGCTCGCTTGTGAATGTGTTAACCTTCAAAGCTACTCAGGTTCTTCGTGATTACTTCCGAAAACACTACGAGTCCAACTGACGAAAAACAGTTGGTTAGACCACCTTGCGCATTTGCAAGAGGGGGGAGGAGGTAAAAGGGCTAGTGAAAATTACGATGTATGCAGCTTCTACT